AAAAAAGTTTCCGTACGTCATGCGGACTGCGCCCCTCGTGTCGGTTGGGCGGGAATGGAGGGTAAAAAGCCGTTGGGATTAATTAATAAAAGTGTATGGCAAATAAGTCTGATAAACGAAATGGAAAAAGGCATGTATTACATACACCCAGAAAAAGGTTTAGTTATAATAACCAAGATTTGGTTATAGTGATCAAGTGGCATAGTTGGATATGACGAAATAAATATATGGTTCACGAAAGTCTGCAATTTAAGACTTCTAGTTGGGACAAATGTATATTTGTTAATAATTACAAAACGACTACCTTGATTGGACAATATTATTAGTTGAATAAATATAAACAATGCTTTGGTTGATGCAAGTTTTCAATTAATTTTGTGAACTTGCTGTAGACTTGAATCAGCTAACCGTTTATTATTGGAAAAAAGTTTCAGTTTGACACAAATAAAAATTTACTCGAGGTTTGTTGTGTTTACTTTCTTCTTTTATTTGCATATATTAAGCATCAAAATACGTACATATTTACATAAGTTAGTTAATAATAAATAATAGATTGGTGCTTACACATATGCTAGTGTTTGGCCGAGCTTCTCCTCCGATTTGTGGCGTGCGCCTTGATGTTGTCACACAAAGCGGAGGGACCTACAGTTTTACGCCGCCTCCGAACGGCGATTGTATTTTTATGAGAAGCTGTTTTTCATGGCAGAAATACACTCGGAGGTTTGCCATTGCCTGCCGAAGGAAGTCCGCTGTTAAGAAAAACCCTTTTTTTATATTTTTTTTTTATGTTGCTTTGACCAGGGCTTGAACCCAGGTGCAGCGGAGTGGAAGCGCGCACTGCTTACCACTACACCACAGCGGCCGATAAGTTAGTTACTAAAGTAAATAATACATATGTATATGGTGGTAAGAATTTCCTAAAAAACAATGATGGAACAGGAACAGTCGTGCGAAAACCCAGGTTAATATCTGCTGAAGTATACTGCTTTGATTTTTCCTTGTCTAAATAGACACTTTCAAATTATAATCCACATGAATTATATATCCATGAAAAACCCCGGTTGGCATCAAACTTTTTATTTTTAAATAACTAGCGCGCACCGAAACAACTCGCAGTGATAGCAAAACTGAAACTGAGACAAACAAGTCTGGGCATGTCATAGCACACACTTTTCTTTCTCTACCTATCGCAGCGATCGACATGCCATAGATTACTGAGCGCTCTGGGACCACATGCATGTTTCACCCATATAAGAACAGCGGTAGCGGAGCAATGATTTCCACGCACAATGCAATGGTCGGCATACTAGCACATTCAAACGATTCAATAAGTGGGACTGTGTGCATTGCTCAGCTGGCGCTCTTCGGATGTGAAACACACATGTGCTCAGAGAGCGCTCAGCATTTTTTAGGGGTGGCTCACAAACCACTCTCAAACCAAATCATGGTTGCCTCAACTAAGATTTGGTAACTATGACTAAACCATGTGTTGAAAGAAAGCTTATCTGCATTAGCAGAGCTTAATAACATCCTTTTATGAACCATGCGTTAAGTTGAATGGAATTTGTAGAAATATGCTTCAAAGAAATATTTATTAGTATTAACCAAACCCTTAAACCAAATTAACGATTTGTTACAACCTAGATGATTATTAGAAGCTTTAATATATTTAGTTATAATTACCAACCCATGGCAATAGTTCCCAATCCTTGGTAACAGTTCCCAAATATTGTCAAAATTCGGGAACTAAATATTTTTAGTTGTCGAAACGAATCCTTTTTCTCAGTGTAAATACATACATAATATATACATATATGTATTAGATATGTATGTATTTATGCATTTATATACATATGTACATAAGCGTTTAACAGTGCTGGTGTCAAGTTAATGCTAAGTTGAAATTATGTGAATATTATACATACATACATACATACATATGTACATCTTGCTCCTACTTTTATGGTAGCTACTTTCCAGCGAAAGTAATAAATAAATCGATAGCTAAAACGATAATAGTATTATGTAAATATCTACATACTTAGATCGCTCGCATAATAGAGACCATTGTATTTTTAGTAGCATACTTCGAGGGGCTTGGCAGTTTATGGCTATTTGCAAGTACATACTAATTCCATGCTAATTCGTGTCCTTGCCATTATGCTATAATATTTTCCGGATTAATATTCGTGCATTGCTAGCAATTTTTGGTGTAGTAAAAATGCTCGTTTCTTTTGTGGGCGTTGAAGATTTCATTCTCATCCGCAAGCGTCAGCAAAACATATATAATTAGATAGATATATGTACATATGCAAATAGGAATGCGAATACTTTAGTTAAAAATATTTGTAAATATATTTCGAGGATAAACTATGTCTCTTGCCCCATTTGAAGTATGTAGTAATTTTAGCCTGCGTCATAATTTTTTAGTTTACTAATTCTGAGATTTTTTAGTTCCTTTATTGACCGCGCCTGAGAAAAGGGTGTCATCGATCAAAATTGTTGTGAACTGCTGTCTAAAAATCAGAGCTTTTTTAAACAATCTCCACGGATAGGGCGAAGCGAAATTTAATGATATTTTATTAAAAAAAAGGAAACTGGAAATCGGTTCATATTTGGGCTCTCAAAATTGATTTGTCCACAGCAACCTTCTCTGTGCCCCACTGTGGGAAGCTGGATGGACGTCTGGATTTTCTTAGAATTTCTTAACTTTTCTATTTTTATTTACTGCTTTATTACCACGTTTATATCATTTCGGTTTGCTGTTGGCCCAGATATTATAGCAAATAATATTGTAAAAAGGAACTAATCTAAACACTATGTACCTACCTCGCCGGTTAATCAAGTGAAAAAATCAGTGAACAAATTTAGAAAAACTTACACTTTTCAAATGCAGAGTTATTTCAATTCAAAGTGCATTCAGTTTATCCCTTTAATAGGCTGTCGCTAAAATACTATAATTGGGTACGGTTTAGTAAGTGGCCCAACTATTTCGGGCTATTGCGTCCAAAAGGGAGACCCGATCCAAAATAAGATTCCACACACTTGTAGTCAATAGTCTACACATTATTTTAAAACATACCTTTGTTATTTTTGGCTCGTAATTTATTTAGAAATTCGGTTCGAAATATGCCCATTTTTGTAAAATTCAGAAAATAGCACTGCTATTCTCTTTAAAGCACTCCACTCCATCAAAGCGTTTTTATATTCGCCTTCACTTTACACTTTATTTTTTTCGTTATAACTTTTTTTATTTCTTTAGCTTCTACAAATTACTCAACTTATTAAATTAAAGCGCCTTAAAAATTACGCTTGTACCTTTATTTGCATATGCGAATGAAATGGTGGAAACAGCTGTCAAACTCCAAGTTTGCATCCCATTTGATCCCAAATCCGAGACCCGAACCGATTTCCCAAAACAAAGTTTTCCCATTTTTGACATTTGTAGTTCGTACTGTACACTGTACATGCGCTTTCTGTACATTTGACGTTTTTCGCCGTCATAAATCTCAGCTGTTCGTGGACGTTTTGTACATTCCATTTGTTTGTGCTACAAAATTTGTGAAATATATCTGAAAATTAAAGTTGTGCTAAGTATTTAAATTACAAAACATAAAAAAATGACTCAAGATATACTAATGAGTAACGACGAGCCAATGGCCACCAATGATGCTTCACGCAACCAGCTGAATCAGCATTGTACAGCTGCAAAGTCTGCGCAAGGTGCAAAGCTACTGGATGTGGTGCGCCAAGTATTGGAAGCGCCGTCCATTTATGTATTTGGCGAACTGCTCGCATTACCCAACGTGCAGGAGGTAAAGTCGAGAGGTGTCTTCTTATATTTGTTTTCCGAAATTTACTTAAAAGCCTGATATTGATTTTTGCAGCTCAAAGATGGACCGCATATTAAATACTATAACACATTGAATCTTTTTGCTTACGGTACTTATAAACAATACCGCCAACAACCTAGTGAATATTTGGAATTGACCGCTACAATGCAAAAAAAGCTGCAACATTTGACCATCGTTTCTCTAGCTATTAAAAACAAATGCATCCCGTATGAGGTACTGTTGGAGGAGTTGGAAATCAATAATGTACGTCACTTGGAAGATGTTATCATTGAAGCCATTTATGCCGGTAAGTTTGAGATTATTAAGGATTGCTATAAAACATTAACTTTACAATATAAGTATTGTGTGGGCGCTTCATTGCTTAAAATAGTTCGGAAGCAATAGTGATAAGTTTAATAGGTGGAAAAAGCGTATCGTTAGGTGTGTATGTATGTATATACCCATGTATATTTTAAACAGTTATTTTTCAGTGTTTGCACTCTTACGTTTTATTACATACTCTTCCATCCATCATGTCAAGCAATCAATATAAAACATCCTCTGCCACAACAATGCGCTATAAGTATGTATACACGACATCAATTTAATTCCTTTCTCATATTTATTGCTTTTACTCCCATTCCTAACCACCAGTTCCGTACAAATGTTATAAACTTTTGCCAGCTGTCTGTTTAGATGTAGCTCTATGCACATTTACATGGTTGCATGAGGTGGGAGGAGTAGACAACCAAATTGAGAATTGCTGTGTTAAAGTTCTCACAAACTTTTGCAAGATTTACCACTTTGGAGATTTATTACTGCAGCTGCTGTGGTATTCAGATTGCGATTTGCACCGGATTGCTTTGCTGCGTGCTGGCAAATATACATAGGTATAACCGTTGTTGATATTTTACAGCGCAATACGAAGGTTTTCTGCACACGCATTCACATTGATTTAGATACGATTGCATATTTGCGCATGTGTGTATGTGCTGGGTATGGCGCATGTAGAATACATTTTGCATGAAGCTGTTGTCAACCACATTTAATACCAAATAAGCTTAAAAGGAAAAAGAAAAACTTTCTATTGAATTAAAAATACATTCGATTTTTTGTGGTACTGAAAAAAGAAGAAAAATTGGTAGCTTTCAAGCTCTTATTAAAATTTAAAGCGTGTTTAGCGCGAATATTCCCTTACTTCATTTCGTATCTAGCACATATTCATACATATAACATATATTTACATGCCTATGTACATATGCATTGCAACTACCATTTTTGCTTTGCAACTCACGTACAATTTTAATCTGAACTGCTTTAAAAGTGCTTGCGTTATTGCACTTGCTGCTGTATCAGTTCTGTAATCTGAGTTTATTGTGAAAGTTGCGATTGCATTTTGCTTGCCGAAACAAGCTGCCTTTAGCCTCAGCATGTAATATTTCATCTGTTTTTTTTTAATCTGCTCTACATAAAGGAATATGGGTGACTTGTTTTCAAATACAAAACGGTTAATGTTCCCATTTACTATCCAAAAATTCGTTATTACTTTGCTTCTACCCAAATGATTGCGTTTCGTTGCGAGGTAAAAACACGAAACGTTAGGGGTATTCAGGCATTAATTCCCAATGCATTGCACCGTTTCGAAACGCGAAATTGGGGAATTGCGAAATTTTTATCAACAGCAACACAACCGGAAAATCTCGCATCAGTCATTGCATTTGACTCTTTACCAACCATAAGCAAATGCAATGAATGTGCGTGATTTTCGGCTGTTTCTGCATTTTAACATTTTGCACCGTTGCAATTGCTTTTCGCATTAACCTGAATACCCCTATTTTAATGATAACGCAAAGCAACTGAAAATGCGAGATACGCTTTCGAAGCAATATAAAAAGTTTACTATGTGGAAAAAATACTAGATATACAACATACACATACTGCTAAGCTGCAGCTAAGCCAAACGTAGAAAAAGTGTCTACGGTTGCGTCTAGTGTAATGCATGGACTGTGCAGCACTGTGCTACACATTTTTTTTTCTTATTTATCTAAAAAAATCCGTAAAAGTTTTACCCAAAAACAAACATATAAATCAGAGTTTCAAACTTTTTGCAAAATTTTGAAAAATTCAAGAGATTTTCATCACAATTTCAACTTCTTAATTCTGAAGATAGAGTCAAATATAAAATAAAGTTTACATGGAAAAGCTTTCCAAATAAGTGCAATCGTCCGTCAACCGCTCATTCTTACGACAGCGGGAACGACCCAGATTTATGTACATACATATATCTGTCTAAGGACTCTCACAGCAGTGAAATACCCGAAAACTACGAAATTCGTATGCCGTTACAACGACATCATCATTCGCTAGTATGTATCTAAGTTTTAATAAACTACTTAAGCATAAAATTTATTAGCATGCAAATCAAAATATTGACTCAGCAAACTAAATTTGTGGCTGCTGCGATTGTGTGTCAGCGCAGTGCTCCCAACATCATCAATCACTCCATCTAAATGGACAGTTGCCGGCAGCAGCGCCGGATGGTAGCCCACAGCATTAGTTTGATTTCCTGGGAAAAACTGCGACTCCAATTTTCGTCGCCCCTCACTTTGGAATTATGTTTGCCCTCAAGCTACTACATCTTTCGCTTTCATATTTTAATTCATTTTTAAATTTTTGTTTACTTCGTTTGCACTTGGCATAAATGGCCCAAAGCTTCTGCCTTGGTGAAACCTTGTTTTGCATAAAATTCAAGATTTGTTTAAGCTCTCGCTCGTCTTTATTTGTTTGTGGTATTTATTTAAATACTTATGCTTTTACTTTGGTTTTTACCTTAATGTATATCTGCTTTTGATTGGGCGCGTGTACGCTATACAAATTTTATATTATTTACATTAGGGTGCTTTTTTTTTGCGACTATTTTTTTTCTCCCATCTGAAATTTTGTTGGAAATACCCAAAAAAAATTCCCTGAAAGTTTGAGCCCTTAATATTAATTTTAAGTACTCGGCCAAGGCGTGTGAAGATTTTCCATTTAAAATACACGGGAACTTTGATTTTTTTTTTTTTTAATTCTATAGCTCAGCGGCATTTAATGGTATCACCTTGTCCAAAATGGGGATTTTCTCAGCATTAAATGCTCTACAAAAGTGCCCACTGCGGCGAAGTCGTAACTCACACCGGCGAGGTACTACTTTTTTACTACTACTTTTTTAACTAAAAATAAAAATAAAAAAAAATAATAAAAGAACAATATTTTTTATAATTTTACGTGATTTTTGATAAAAATTTAAAACTTCATAAACTTAAAATTGAAATACTCATCAGTGAGGTTCATAGCAAGAGTTTTTTGTAGGAAATAAAATTTCCTACAAGTTTCTCATTTACATTTTTTCTATAGCTCTTGCATTTACGAGATAAATGCGAAAAAACGTAAATTTCATGAAAAAATCAGGTTTAGTGGCCCGTACTACCTCGCCGGTGTGAGTTACGACTTCGCCGCAGTGGGCACTTTTGTAGAGCATTTAATGCTGAGAAAATCCCCATTTTGGACAAGGTGATACCATTAAATGCCGCTGAGCTATAGAAATTTAAAAAAAAAAAAATCAAAGTTCCCGTGTATTTTAAATGGAAAATCTTCACACGCCTTGGCCGAGTACTTAAAATTAATATTAAGGGCTCAAACGGGTACGGTTTAGTAAGTGGCCCACCTATTTCGGGGTATTGCGTCCAAAGGGGTGACCCGATCCAAAAAAAAATTGCACACACTTGTAGCCAAGGGTCTACCCATTACTTTAACATCCACTATTGTAATTTTTGGTCACGTAATTTATTTACAAATTGGGTTTGAAATATGCCCTTTTTTGTAAAATTCGGAAAATAGCTCACATTTATCACTCCTATTTTCCTTAAAGCAGCCACTTCACTAATGCATTTTTATATTCCCCTTCACTTTAAACTTTATTCGACTTGTCAACTCTTATTACTTATTAACTTATCACATTTATATAAACATTTAACAGTTTGGTTGCAATGCATAGCGTCTAATGGCTAACGCTATCCATTTGACGAGTTCTCGGGCTTCATAAGCGTTAATTGAGTCTCAATTCGTTATTTCTCTTTCATTTGCTCTTCTCGTCAATTCAACCGACCCTCAAAGATCTGTCGCGTTAGCGCCCTTTTGTGGGATGCTTCTATTGTTGCGAATGCAGTGGTTGCGCCAATTGGGACAGTTAAATGGTGGCGTTTAGCTGTCAAACTTGCTAAATATACAAGAAGGATGAGAAAGAAAATATGATATAACCCAGTCAGCATTAAAAATATAAACCTTTCCATGGAAAATATGTATTTACTGTCCCTGTGGCTCCTTTCGCTGAGGGTTATAATCCCTAAGTGCGGCCGAAGGCCGCCTACGCAGAAAGGTTTCTATGCAAAAGGTGTTCGGCCCCCTTTCTTTGGCACCACAGAAAGGAGAATTCTACTGCCTGAG